GGAGAAAATGATTCTCAGATTACAAATTTATACTGAAAAATATGTTGAATTCGGACAATTAAAATTGTTTTTATGGAAAATGAATTTAATGTTTATATGTATCTTCTGTCGCGGTATGCATTTAATTTTTATGAATTTTGCAATCGAATTTAGCAAAAACTAGATATTACATAATTTTGACAGAAGCTCAAAACTTTTGTATCTGACATGTAAATGTAACTATGCATGTAATATATTTAAATCTATTTATACGTAAATGTTAACTGAGCGCTTATTTGAATAAAACTCTCTCTTATCTCAAAAGAACAACAGATTTAGATTGGATTTGCTTCTGTTTGAAGTGCAATTAGATCTGGTCGACTAAATACATAAATCGGTGGATTGAACAATTCCTTTGATTACGAAAAAAAACTGTGTAACTTTTGAAGTTACACAGAAATTCGTCAATAACAATTTATTCAAACAAAAATAAATCAGTGAAGCTTAAGCAGTATTAAAAGGACATACAAAACTGCGCATTTAGTTTGCACTCTAAGAAATCGGATGACAAACGTGATTTATCCGGGATTGTAAATGGGATATATCGGTGGGAAGTATGATTCCCTTTGATGATAGATGGTCACTGAACCAGTGGTGGGTAGTGCCACGAGGTTATTACCTAGCGGTGACACTTATCACCCACGGTTAATTAAATACCATGTACTGACTGGTCAGCAATAATCCAGTGGCCAAATTTCTTAGAGTGTGTAAAGTAAGACAGACATCGTATTTGCACTAATGATGCACAAATGTCATAATGCAGTTTATTTACGTGTGACTGAAATTAGATTAAATTTAATTGAGCTATTATGTTTGCGAATTAAAAGAGAACATTTACAAGAGTTGCGTCCAAACCGAGTCTGCGAATTTAATTAATTTTATTGACATGAAAAAATTCATTTAAATTTCAAGTTAAAAATGCATCAAATGATTCAATTATTGCAAATCTGACTTCGCAACTGTGTCACGTGATGGGATGAAACTCTGTTATATAATCTCAAATAACCCACCCACATATTTATCAGTAATTTATGCAGCTTTTCCATTTTATAAGTTGAGCTTCCATAAAATTTGCAAATTATGAATTTTTAAACTAGATCGTACATAATCTCGAAAGCGCACAAACAAGAGAAACCAAATCAACCCATAATTCAATAATCGAGCATCAAGGACTCAGAGAAGATGGCGATAATGTAATTTGGTCGATCTAGGTTGATTTTTTTTCAAATTCCCATTTTTCATGTTCCCAGCTCCCTGAGTGAATTGAATTCGGATCCTGAGGAAAACAAGGTGGGTGGGTGGATGGTTGGTTGGTTGGAGGAGAAAGTAAGAGACTGGATTTTGGTGATAAAGGAAGCGATAACTTTTTATTGTTGGGGCACGTTTTCACTATTAATTTTCATGGATCAATAATGTCACCTTATGGACTTCCATTCAAGTCTTATACGGAAAGAAGAATATGTTCCCACAGATTTGGATCGAAATAGCGCTGTTCGATGCATCTTCAAGTTTTGAAATTTTACAGGGTTATGAATACTGCAAATTTTTGAATTTATGTGCACTTTGAAAATCTGGTATATGTAGTCACGCAGGTATTACAAATATTTCTATGTACTCAACTTGCTAAAATTATATCGGTCCACTAAAATTTACCACCAGTATGATAAAATTTTACTACCGAGCTATTATTACATACACGGAATTGATTACTAATCTAGACCACGTTAGTATAGTCATATTTATATGAATGGTTTGGTTTTATTTTAATACTGGATTTCTAAGAGTGTACGAATTATGACGCACTTATTGTTAGATTAAACCCTTCATTCATAAGATCACCGTTACACGCAATAAATTCCCTGGGAATTTATACCAAAAATGTTTTAAATATTTTCATACCAATGCTTTCAGTTCAACCGTTGTGAAATCATCAAAGGAGAAAACGGAAACGTATTTATTTTACATAAAGCTAGAATTTCATAACAAATACGAAACTTCCATCAGGGACGGATTTGCTCAAAACAGAAACGAACCTAATCCTGTTGCTTTTTTGTTCTTTCGTTTGAAACAATTCCTTCAGAAATGTGAAACTTTATTGCAGTTGAACATTTTTAAATAAATGGCATAATTTGACGTGGCATGGATAAGAAAAATGGATATTTTCGTCTTGCATAGTGACACGAATTTCTGCATTTTTGCAAGTCTAGATATTGTTCATAAATTTGAATGATTTCTGCATGTATCAATTTTCCATCAGAAGCAGATGCAGTTTCGGATGAGAAAATGAAATGCACTTTTTCATAATTTATTGCAAATTATCGATACATATTGCAAATTTTAGGCAGTTTTTCTACACTCCTAGAAATTCAGCATCAAAATAATACCAAGCGGTATGCATACATATGTATGTGATTCTACCAAAATGGTAATGATAAACGATACCATGTAGCAATAGTTCTGTACTAAAGCTTTATCATATTTACCGATATGGTAAGGGTGGACCGGTATAATTCTAGCACCAAGCGGTAGTAATTTTAATACCGAGAAATCAATACTTGTCTGCTATCAGGTTCCTAGCAGTAAATGATTTTTTAATTAATTTTCACGCCTACTTTTCATCAGCTGGTGCAGTTTCCAATGAAAAATGATCTCTTAAAATACACTTTTTAATAATTCATTGAAAATTATCAAGCAAAAATAAAATATTGCAAATTTTTTGCTATCTATCCTGAAAATTGCATAATTACATCATTCTCCCACGAAATTTTGAATTTTCATTAAATTTCCATATTGCCAAAATGTCCAAGAAGACTGCAGTTCTTATCGAGTTCTCAAAATCTAATCCTCCCTTCAGTCATGCCAGACTGCGACGGAGAAGAAAGTAAAAAGAAAAACTGCAGTAAAAGGGAAATAAGGGCGTAAAATATTGCAATATTGGGATCCTGGGTGAAATTTGCATCTTTCTCATCTCATCTCCTCCTCGATCGACGAGGTCCCCCGCATTTTTTACGAGGATGGACATGCCTCGAATTTTTTTTCTTGGGAGAAATCTGATTTGCATAAAATATGAAACCATAACCAAGACCAGGATTTAGCTGGAGCGAATAAGATACAACTAATTTTGCGGTTGAGTTGCTCGCATCATATTAAATTTTGTTTTTGACGAGAATATGTAAATAATGATGGGGATGGAACGTAGGAATAATTATTGCGGGAGTGCATTCATAGGCCGAAAAAAATTTGCAATGTACAATTTTTGCAAAATTATTATGCAATCGTATACCTTCTTTATTTTTATTGGTTTAAGTTTGAAGAGCGGCTCGCCATTTACAAATCGTTGCAAATTTACGCATTTTGTGAAGTTTTGAATTTGTCGAAATTTAAGAGTTTCATATTTTTAAAACTTTATGTTGTTTAGATCCGTAGAAATTCTGAATTTAAGTTATGTAAGTTCATGTCTAATTTCTTCGAAGTATATGAAAATTTTCCAATTTTGCAGTGCTTGGTATTTCACAAACGTATCAATTCAATTCAATTTACAAAAAAAATTAGCATGGTTCTGATTCGCAAAAATTTGGGAGTTCAATTAAACGCTTCAGGTGTAATTTTGCATATGTATAAACGAAAAATTATTTGGAATGATACCGTAATTAATTCCAACAGTTGTAAATCAGTAAAATCGCCATTTTCGTTAAGTTTATTACAATCCCAAACCCAAATTGACAAGTGTGATTTGGGTAAATTTGCAAACTAAATATGATTTTATGTAACAATTTATTCTAATTTGTCCGATTACGAAGTTCCGAGTGAACTTTGTTTCCTCCCCTAATAAAATTATTGTTTTCGTCTATACTTTCGCCAAATTATTTACTTTGCTAAATATTGCCTGATGAGAAACGCTTGTCTCTCACTTTGTCACAGTTACACTAATTTTGGCACACTGAGAAATCAACAAATGTCTGATTACCGTCTTCCATCCGCCCACTCGCAAACTTTCTTGTTGTTGTGCCAAATTTCTTAAATTAAATGAACTCGAGATCACACTTGACAAAAGATTACGCCGAGTCGACAAAACAAGTCTGTTTAAATTAGAATTAAGTGAGTAAAGAGCACAAGATGAGAAATTAGGTAGTCACACTAAAAGACAAATGATGATAATATATGCGAGTACATATGTCACGCAAAGTTAGAGTCTTAAATTATGGAAATTATGAAACTAGAGACAAAATTAAGCAAGTTGACAGACGCATAACTTATGTACACAAACTTAAACTTATCTATTTAGGTCTCATATTTGTCTTCATAGAATACTATACTAATTTTAGGAATATATTTCTGGAAGGTTTGTTTTTCAAAAATTTGCAGATTTATTCGGCACACAATTGTCTGCGAAAAAAATGACGCATATTTGTATTAGAATATTAAACTAAGGTCAGAAATATAGATTTCTGGATCATTTGGTTATGACGAAATGCATATTCAAAAAACTTGAAAATTTATTTTACACAATTTTTTATGCAAATGAGCACCGATTATTTGGCTGGTTTGACATTTCCAATTTTCTAACAGTGCAGCCAACTTTGCTCAAAACCTTGCACTTATAAATTTAGCTTTAGATTTAAAGTTTTAGAGAATAAAGAGCTTCCAGATTAAAGCAGGTTTGAATAACATATGTTATTGAGTAGAAAGTGTTTTTGACAATTGTTTATGTATTCCGAATTTAAATTAAATATTGTTGTACATTACTGCGAAATACATATTGCAAAAAATGTGAAGATAATTATTATTATTTACCACGATTTTGCACCTATGTACATATCCCACACTCACAGCTACCATTTGACTTGATTCATATCTGAACTTCCATCAAGCCAAAATACTCGTCTGACAAGTTTACCAATAACAATGAGACTTATGCCAAAACATATGCAAAAATCTGTGCCAAAATTCTTATCACTCACCCCTCATATAAATATACGCCGTCCCCTTCATATTCGGCTGATTGAGAACGACCAGATTCAACACATTTCCAACAATCCCAAGAGCACAAATACTCGGCCAAATTATCCCATAAGTCAAATACTTTAATTCCTGTATCGTTCCGGAATCGTCACTCGAATTCGTCACGGATAAGTGACGTGCCGAACAAAACGGTAGTGTCGTCATCATCGTCGTCACTGACGGTGTCATCACTGTCGTCGAGTAATCAGTCACATTTGAATACGGGTCAAAAAAATCAAAATCACTAATTGTCGGGTAAAACTGTGTCACTTCACCCATAATTTTTTTTGCAAGGGGGTAACTTGATACTAAAATATTAGAATCTGGTCAAGCTGAGAATTACAACTTCTCCACTACTGTTTTTCTCTTCGTTAAGTTATAGATTACATATTTGCAAATTTGCAAATAATTTGCATGCGTCGCGTCGCCTTATTTATCTGTTTCTTTGTAGAGGACAAATTCAATGCATAACTTGTTTTGTTGACGGTGGTTGTGAATTAGATGCGTATGTAAAATGAGAGATGTGAATGTGTTGAAGGGAATTTGAGACTTCTTTTTACCAAAGATGAATGCGAAAACTGGTTGAGAGTGAGAAAGGTTTGGGTTTGGTGTGACCCTGCTGTGGCGAGAGGTTGACTCTGACTGAGGCAAGTTCTGGATGAGAGTGGAATTTTGTTGGATTGGGAATGTTGAGATGGATACGTGCAAGTGAGGCATGAGTGCATAGTAAGGAAAATAATACGTGCAGAAATATGTAGCAAATAGGCAATAAGAATGAATGCATACATATGCACATTTCTTGAGTATGTTGCAGTGCATTGTAATTTATAGTAGATCATATTTGCAGTGTAACTAATCCAAAGTAATGACAAGGTTAAGAATTTTGTGCATTGGGCGGACTCACAACAACGGTGGAAAAATAAATATGATTCGGAGATGTGTAAATTATACTAGATTTTTTGAAAATTGCAAAATTGCATAAATAATGGATTTGCGAAATTTTACTGGATTCCTGTTTTCTTGTTTACCCAGTTTGAAAATTGTCATGTTTTTATTTCGTAACGATATTTCGCAAAATATTTGCAACATGTATGATTAGCGATGTGGTGACAGGATGTTGAGATGGGTATGTACGCCCACCTTGAATTATCATGATGTTATTGTCCGGTTTGTAAGCGTGTTGTTGAAGCATTTTATTTTTTAATGGAGATATCTTAACATTTATTTGGACTGGTTTTTGCAATATTTGATTATCGGGTCTGTGTGTAAATATTTTGCATTGGAAATTTGCAAAATAAAGGGATTAAATCTATAATGTATTTTTGGCCAACGAGCACCTAAATGTGGCTAATTTTGGAATGGATATTTCCAAAAAAAAGTGGGAGTTTACGCGAATTCATGCCATTTTCCTTATATTTCGTGAAATTTGCTCATATTTGTGCAAAATATAAACCTTTACGCAGATTTGCAAATAAGCATTACTTAAACGCCTCCACTAAAATTTAAATAATTCCCCATTCCGCCTCTACATAATTATTCATTCATTCATCCCCTGGAATAAGTAAAAAGGCAATTAAATGCGTACGTAATTTCATCCAGGTAATTCAAACCCGAGGGAAACTTGTAAACCTGCAGAAACTCCCATTCCAGCCAAAATGGAAAGTAACGAGTCGTTGAATTGGTTACACAAGAAATTGTGAAATGCAAAGTTATACACGTTAATTAAGGTGGAAAATATACGTACCTCTTGCGAGTCGTGAATTCCAATAAAGTGCAAAATTATACTGTTTCCCTTAACAAGGAGTAATTATTATGCGGGCAACATACCCGGCTCCCACTTAAGACCTGGTTTATTAGCTGGACCGGGTTTTATTGGTTGGTGGTTGAGTCCCGGGTAGTAGGTGTACATAAATATTGTGTTTTATACTACATACTTTTACTAGACGAGGATTTGCTAAAATTTTTGTTGGCGTGGGACCAAGTGCAATTTGCAAATATTATGTTTGCCTAGTGCAACGTAATGAAGGAAATATGAGACGATTTTTTTAGAGCCACGTTTTTTTAGTTTTTGACTGTAGCAAAAAAGTAAACCAGAATCAGTTCACTTTTCGGCTAAATATTTACTAATTATAGGTAGTCGAGATCTTTATGCACATTTACATATCTTGCCATGGTCAAGTGGACATGACGCACCTTGTAAAAACATAATACAATAGGAAGCCACGTAGAAATCACGCAGTTCGTTAAGTGGTATGCGTACGTAATTATGTATCAACCAGTTATCCTACAAGTGGATTTACGAACATATGAATCACCATCAACCCTTTCTGTCAAGATGAGACATACATACAATACTTGCATATTTATTCGCAGTAACAAATAAATTCATTCTGCTTTATGCACACTTGGGGGTATTCAAGTCAAAGCCCCCTGCCGCGTCGCAGTTTGCCGTTAGCATATAATTTAACGATTTTAAATATTTTTGGTTGCTTGCTAAATAAGAAGCTCACATACATATTTAAGTACATAGTTTCCAGTGAAACATGTATTTTTGCTAATAGTTAATTGTTAGAAAATACTTACAGTATTGAAGAAAATAATCAATAAATTTAATTGGTAATTACTAATTACTACTTATTCCAGTTTGTCTTGACGATTAAACTGGTTGCCTTTTTTCATGAAAATAAATATCTACGAATTTCGCGACTCGGTTTGCCTTCAATTTCAGCCGATTTGACGACCCTGGAATGATCCAGGAATCAAAATAGTTGACATTCATGGGATAATAATTTATACCCCAGGGACCGTCTGCAACGTGCTAGAGGTTAAGTAAGCCCAAGATGACATACTTTTACCTAAGAAAGTAGCTGACAGCTGAGTCTACAATTTCTTAATTGGTTATTATATTAATATACACATAGAATCAATGGGTATGGATATAAATACTTGAATGAAGCAAAGTATTATCACTATCTATGTACCTAACTTTGTGGGTGAGTTAGTAGTTATGTACATAATTGTTATTGTTATGCGTAAAGTTATCAGACAGACAAGAAAGTTGGGATTGTTCATCAAAGTGGGCTGATTGACCAAAGTCTTTCCCGAGATGCACTGATTGGGAAGATCATGTCAAATCTTTTTTCAGCCAAAATTAGCAAATATTTTTGTACGTGATACACATAACTCCCTCAACAATTTAAAATTTTGCTCATGCAAAAATACAGTATTAAATACGTAGGAATTACATACAAAATTTTAAAAAGAGAAAATTTAACGTTAAAGTTTCTTATGAAAAAACTTTAATACGCTTTTAGGGATTCCAATCCCGGACGATTTTTTAAATCCCGGGAATCGGGAATCCCGGTTTTAGCCGTACAAAATCCCGGGAAATCCCGGGATTTTTTCCCAGAATTCAAAAATTACCTCATAACTTGAAATAAGTTAAATTTGGGTATACGAAAAAGTACAGAATATAAGCATATTTATAATACTTATGCACATGCATACTTGTGTTTTTTAGAGATCTGTGCATCCATAAGTATTATTATAACATATGGAATTTTCTGGCCTTCTCGAAATAAATATGATGGCAGTACAAATTAGCGATTATATAGTGGTGTGTCTGCTTGTAAATGTAAAAGTTCGGTGCAATGTGATAGTCTAATTTTCCGCCCTTTGTCTTGGGGAGGTGATAAGAAAAATTTTGAAAATTTCATTCCAGAAAACTTAAATAACTAATCAACGATTTGCTAGCATTTTAACCTGACCTGAAATGCATACATAAATTTACGTTTATTATTTGTGTACTATTATAAAAAACTACAATTGGACAATTCACAAATTTCAAGTTCAAATATATGTATGTATGAGCAACCTCGTTCATTCAGCCTTCGACTAAAATTCGAAATTATATATTTCTAACATGTTAGCTTTTTTGAGCATAACTGATTTCAGATTCTATAATTATACCGAGGGTTAGGTTTATTTCTTCCTTCAAATTTAAATCGGACATCCAAATTAGAAAATTTTGAGTTTCATTTTGTATTGCAAATTTACTTGCGAACTATAAGATTAAGATATATGTACGACATATGAAGAAATTTGGATTCCCATGATGCTTTAATCTTGGAGTTGAGAATGAATTTTGACAGGTTATGCTCATCGAAACTTTTTCTTAGCACTAATATAACGAAAAATTATGTAAAACCGCTACTAAAAGCAAAATATAAGGAATTTTCAATCCTGAATGAAAAATTGAAAAATTCCGAAATCCCGGGATTTCAATTCTTAAAATCCCGGGATTTCGGGATCCCGTTTCCCGGGAATTAAATCCCGAAAAATCCCGGGACTGGAACCCCTATACGCTTTACTTTTGCTATCTATACCATTTCAGAAATTTTGCTGATACTTCAAAATTTGTAGATTTTTCCTGGGTACAATGTACGTAATTTAATCAGACCTGAAGTTCGATATGATGATTAATCATATCCTGGTTACATGCGGTTGCGGCTTCGAATTATTGGCTAACCACATGACATACTCTGACACCTGAGGAGATGAGAAAGTTGCAAATTTCAGTCCGTATCTGAAAATATATATTGCAGTCCGGATCTCGTACTGTAATATTTTACGCTCTTATTTCCCTTCTCGCTGCTGCATCTCTTCCTTGCAGATTCGATCATGAAAAATATTGGGGTAGGCAGTTTGATTTTATATTTTGCATATAAAAATTAATTTCTTTCGGAAAAGTAAATATTAAGCTATAATAATTTACATAAATATTCATATTCAGTCGTTGAAGAAGCACACGTGCTTCCAATACTTACACTGCGACCCACAAAACAAGGACACCTAGGATTTTTTTCCAATTTCTCAAAGGCCCTTCAAAATACTTATGTGCTTCTTTCACCATTAAGTACTACGGCGCCTGATAGTCTTGTTGCAAAGTTTCGTTAAAATTGATGCAGGGGCGGGGAAGTTATCTAATAATATGTCAAAATCAGGTGGCTCATAAAACAAGGACAGTCTTGGAATTATTTCAATTTTAGCCAGTTATAGTGTATTTGATCAATTCTCTTCCACAACAATACTCAGTATAACTACCCACTTTATTGATATCAGAAATAAATTGACGATTCATTGACGCCACGTGCTTATTGACATGACTGATTGGTATTGAATCACGTGCCTCAATGATTCCTTGTTTTTGTTCCGAACCTGTTGAACACGGCGGAGTATTAGCATAAACTAGACGCGACTAATATCCCTAAATAGTTTTAATCGGATTTCGATCAAAATATGTCACTGGCCAAGCCAGAATGTCGATATCGTTGTCGTTGGACCATTTCATTGATCACCGAGGAGCATAATATGGGGTATTATCTTGTTCAGATTGCCACATTTTCTACCGAATTTTTGTTGCAGAAGAAGGAATTGTTCTTCTGAAATGATCTGATAACCTTCTGAGTTCAAAGTAGTCGGAACAACACGATATTGAACCCCATACCATAATCCCCGGGATCATGACACCACCTCCCCCGGTCTGTCTGTGGTAGATTTAAGTTTGGTTGCCTAAGGTCATGAAAATGATACTTATTCCTTTCAGGACAATCCAATGTGACTTGGTTTT